ATAAAACGTAATCTTCGTGTTAACCATTATACAATGGAACTGTCGAAGTCTTATATTATAAGTAAATGACCTTAGATTATTAGCCTCGTCCTATGATCTTGATAGTATAGTAAAAATCAGTAACACATATCTGACTACATGTTCATTTTATTGTCCCCCTGATAAAGTGGTAATTTATAATGAGCTTTTTGTTCTTCAGGATAGTATGCCTCAAAATGAATTAATTTTAGGTGATTTTAACGCTCATCATACATTATGGGGTTCCCTGTGGGCGGATGGTAGAGGTGAGCAGGTAGTTAAGTTGACTAATGATTCTTATCTGGTCCTTCTGAACGATGGTAGTCCGACGCGGGTGAACGATAATACCGGTAATTTTAGCTTTATTGATCTATCACTGGTCTCTTCATCAATAGTCGTCAATGGTGTGCTTTTGCCACATCTCCTGTGGCAAATTGAGTGGACCAACCTTCAAGTAAATAATAAAATTACCAATGACGACTCGTTGGGAAGCGATCACCTTCCTATTTTAATTGAATATTCATGCACAAAGTGAGAACGTCTTCAACACCTAAATTCAATGTAAGAAGACCAGACTGGGTCGCCTTCACAAGGAGCGTCTAGCTTGAACTTGTTGGAGAAACCATTGATGATAAGATAAACAATATTCAGAATTCGATTTTAGAAGCAGCAGTGCTAATCATTCCTAAAACTTTAACAGATAGCATTAAGCATAGAGTTCCACCAGATTGCGACAGGACGCTGTGCCAATGCAATGGGGCCTACAGGCTTTTCAAAAATAACATCAATAATTACAAAGAAGCAAGAATAATTAGACAAAAGTAGACTCCTGGCGGAGCTTTGTCTCTCCAATTAACAGCAGTACATCAATAAAACAAAATAAGAAAAACAAATCTTTCACACTCAAAAATATCATTCACGAGGGAACCAATTACGATTCACCCAGAGACATTGCTAATACACTCACCAGGCAGTTCTCTTACACTAGTAGCTCAGACAAATATCATCCTGCATTGCTGACCATCAAGGAAGCGGCTGAGCTGCAACCTATTAGTAGAGGAACATCCCCAGGCCCTGATGAGATATGATATGAGATGATAAAGCATCTTAATCATGATGCCATGATTAAGTTGCTAGAAGTGTACAATGAAATTTGGAAAAGCCACACTTTTCCAAACTCATGGCACTTCACCCACATCATTCCCATATTGAAAGGAGGGGGAAATCCCAGATCTGCCATCTCCTATCGCCCAATTGCATTGACAAGTTGCTTATGCAAGGTTATGGAAAGACTTGTTAACAGTGGGTTATTGCATTTTTTAAATACCAGTAATTTACTAGTTGACAAGCAGTGTGGCTTCCAATTGCCCAAAAAATATTTTTTATTTCTGTATTTTTAGATATAGAAACCGCCTACAACATGACATGGCAATATGGGCTACTGAGATAAGTTTATGCTTTTGGATTACATGGAGACTTGCCTTGTCTTCTTCAAAACTTCATTTACTGACAGAACTTTTGCTTTCAAACTTTTTTCCAACAATGTCACTTTTTCGGACATTTTTGCCCAGGCAAATGGGGTCCCACAGGGAAGTGTTTTGTCGCTAACATTATTTCTATGTATGTGGAGTGAGGAGTACCTCCCCTTTGACTCAAACGCGGCCACTTAACCCTGATCTATGCCGCTAAGGTGGCTCGAGACCCAATGGCATTGGAGGCATTAGGCCCTTTGCCACGCGACTCGAGAAAGTCGGTATAGATCTATCATCATACACTGGTTCAGTCAGCTTCCATTGCTGGAGGTGGAGGTACGCCAGAGGTTCAGAGAGATCCATATTAAACATCTTTCTTTTTTCATATATATATACACCGACGGTTTCAAGACAGATGAGGGTGTATGGTCGACTGAATGTGAATTGAAGTTTCGACTGCCAAATCATACATCGATCTTTCTTGCCGAACTTTTTGCAATTGATAAAACTTTAGATTTTGCACTATCGACGACCCACGATAGAATAGTTATTTTTTCAGATTCATTGAATTCACTTACAGCTATTGAGTAAGTATATCATTCGTAAACTACATGATGCCAACAAATCGATCAAGCAAAAATGGGTACCAGGCCACTATGGTATCCATGGCAATGAGCAGGCTGACAAATAAGTCAACTGGCGATCTGGATCTTAGCATAGTTCGTACAGATCTCAGGTGTTTTGTGTCTCTTATAAAAGCAAAAATACATCTGTGGCAAAGTGAGTGGACCAACATTCAAGTAAATAATAAAATTAAAACCACAATAGAACCATGGGTTACATCCCACAGAAAAGAAGGAGGATGTGGTGTTGGCTCGCCTTAGCGTCAATGCCATAAGACTGACACACCTCACTCCCTATATTGAGAAAACCTTCCCTCCAAAATGCCTGCAACACCAACCTTACAGTAGCATATATTAACAACTTGCCATAAATTCAATAATAGCAGAATCCACCTTAAAATCTACTTTCAAATTAAAAACCTAGATTATGTTATCAGATGATGAAAAAGTAATACATAAAGCAATCGCTTTTCTAAGGGAGACAAAACTTTATGGCCTTATATAGATTGATATAATGAACAAGATCCATTGGCTTAATAACCTTGGCCACATGCCGCAGGTTGATAGCCAAAAAATCCAACAAAGAAGAAGAAAAAGAATCGATGGTATTATTTTTATTATAAACATTCAAATTACTATAATGTTATAAACATAAGTAACAGCAAAATAAGATAACGTAATATATTTTCGTAAATCAAAGAAAAGGCTAAACGGGCGAGACAGGCAGTAATTGGCTCATTGGTGATTTGGTACAAGTGTAACCATTTATATGTAAAATTAAACAAGTAAACTCATAATGAGAATGGCATACACATACACGTCATGCCCGTCGGCACTAGAAGGACTCACCATACCCTTACACAAGCAAAATTATATTTTGACATTAATGGTCTTAAATTAAATCGATATTAATCTCAATGTATATTCGTAGGTAGTCGTCAGAACATAACTAAAATTCCCAATGACACAAGCATAGAATTTGAAGGCTGCTCTGTCAAACTGAACACTTCTGTGAATACACTTAGCCAAAATACACAGGGCACCCTGGTATATCTTAATCACATAAGAAATCAAATCACTACTGATACTAGAATCATGGTTGTACAAACTCTAAGCATAATTAACTATTGTTCAAATATTTGGGGTTCGACTAACAAAACCCAAATGCAAAAAATACAAAAATGATAAAACTTGGGTGATATCAGTAAACTTCACCCCACATATACAAAAATTAAAATGGTTAAAATAAAATCTAAATGCAGCTTTGGTACTTGTGTATTCATTTACAATCATTCATGGGAATTATCCACAATGATTAATACCCTTGCAAACTGCGGGGAACACATGATGTGTTCAGACACGTCAAGTAAATTTTCTTTTTGTTAAGAAATCGAATGCCGATATAGGTGCACGACAAATGAAAATCCGTGGACCCAAGTTATGGAATATGCTACCAGATAATATAGGAGACATTAATAGTTCATGAATGCTATTTTCATACTGCTCCTTATTTTTATTTTATTTTCCCTCCCCTGTGTATCCTCCTCTCCCTCCCCATGCTCCTCTCCCCCCCCTCCTCCTCCTCCTCCTCCTCCTCCTTCTCCCCCCTCCTCCTCCTCTTCCTTCTCCTGCTTCTTTTATTTTATTATTCGTCTCCTTCTTCTTCTTCCTCCTCCTCTTACTCTTACTCTTCGTCCTTCTTCTTCTTCTCCTTCTCCTCCTCCTTCTTCTTCTTCTTCATTTTCTTCCTCTTTTTCTTCTTCTCCTCCTCCTTCTAATCCTTCTTTTTCTGCTTCTTCCTCTCCTCCTCCTCCTCCTCCTTCTAATCCTTCTTTTTCTGTTTTTTCTTCTTCTTCTTCTTCATCCTCTTACTCCTACTCTTCGTCCCTCTTCTTCTTCTTCTTCTCCTCTTCCTCCTCCTCCTCCTTCTCCTCTTCCTTCTTCTTCTGCTTCTTCTTTTTCCTCCTCTTCCTCTTCTTCTTCCTCCTCTTCTTCTTTTTCTTCTTCTTCTTCTCTTTCTTCTTCTTCTCCTCCTCCTTCTTTTCTTCTTCTTCCTCCTCCTCCTCTTACTCTTACTGTTCGTCCTTCTTCTTCTTCTTCTTCTTCTCTTCCTCCTCCTCCTTCTCCTTCTTTTTCTTCTGCTTCTTTCTTTCTTTTTCTTCTTCTCCTGCTTTTCCTTCTTCTTTTTTTTTTCTTCTTCTACTTCTTCCTCCTCCTCCTCTTACTCTTACTCTTCGCCCTTCTTCTTCTACTTCTTCTTCTTCTTCCTCCTCCTCCTCCTCCTCTTCGTCCTTCTTCTTATTTTATTTTTTTTATTTTCTCCTCCTCCTTCACCTTATTCTTCTGCTTTTCTTTTTTTCTTCTCCTTCTTCATCCTCTTCCTCTTCTTCTTTTTTTTTTTCTTCTTCTACTTCTTCCTCCTCCTCCTCTTATTCTTACTCTTCGTCCTTCTTCTTCTTCTTCTACTTCTTCTTCTTCTTCTACTTCTTCCTCCTCCTCCTCTTATTCTTACTCTTCGTCCTTCTTCTTCTTCTTCTACTTCTTCTTCTTCTTCTTCCTCCTCCTCCTCTTCCTCTTCCTCTTCGTCCTTCTTCTTCTTCCTCTTCTTCTTCTTTCTTCTTCTCCTCTTCCTTCTTCTCCTCCTCCTTCCCCTTCTGCTTCTTTTATTTTTCTTCTTCTCCTTCTTCTTCTTCTTCTTCTTCTCCTTCTTCTTCTTCTTCTTCTCCTTCTTTTTCTTCTTCTTCTTCTTCTTCTTCTTCTTCTTCTCCTTCTTCTTCTTTTTCTTCTTCTTCTTCTCTTTCTCCTCCTCCTCCTCCTCCTTCTCTTCCTCCTCTGCCACCTCGCCTCTGCTTTTCTCCACCCTATTAACCTCGCTTTTTCCTTGCAGGTGGCGTCATGGATGAAGGAGAACTTGCTACTGATGTTGACGGTGCTGGGCGTGGTGTTCGGCATTGCGATCGGGGCCATGGCCAGGATGGTCGAGTACTCGGAGGACACGGTCATGTTGGTAGCCTTCCCGGGAGAGATCATGATGAGGATGCTGAAGATGCTGATCCTTCCTCTCATCATCTCCTCCATCATCACAGGTTAGAGTGGCTAGGGTGAGGGAGATTGGGTGAAGCCAGGGGAAGGGGTCAATCAGGATGGGAGAGAGTAGTAGAGGGGAGGAACAGGAGCATAAATGAAAAAGCGCAAACATAAACATGAGGAGGAGGGAGGAAGAGATGCAAAGAGAAACGTGAAGAAGAAGAGAGAGGGGAAGAAAGCGAGAGATAGGAAGAGGGCGGCAAGCGGGAGGGAAGCAAGCGGAAGAGGTTAACAGGGGACAGGAGTATATAAACATTGAGAATTATCTAGGCTATGTTCACTTCAACAACTCGTTCATTTTACGAAGTGTCATTAATATCAATTGCCAATGTCCTAGAGAATTGAAATGTGTGCCAGGCGAGCAATATATGTGTGAAACCTACTGGTTTGGTGTAGAACACTGTTTTATACGTATATCTGTGTCATTGTCTGTTATTTGGTGTACATGAGTGTGGTTTATGTGTGTCTTTGATATGTATGGATGTAAGCGCCAGATACGGACAATGGATATGGATGGGACTGTGTGTTAAGTATCAATATATTCTTAACTGAATTATGTAGTTATATTGTGAAGCAATTATTAAAATACTTCCTTCTGTTTAACCCATGTTTTACATAAATATATAATTTAAGCCATGTAGGGTGTAGAAGAAAGATCCTGTATTAAAAAGATATACAACTCTGCTGAACTGACTAATCATGACAAAACCACTAATCTTTGCCAATCGCTTCCTCTGTTGATGTTACATGTCCGAAATGTTCATTTAGTTTTTTCTCATGATCCACTGTACAGAAGATATTACATGGTGAATTATGGAAACCAGTAGAATATATATCATCCTTTAATGTGGATTACTTTTCGAACCGTATGGCTTCAAAAGTGTGTAATTTAAGGCCTTAGAATTTATTGTTAGATTTCCATGAACGTCAGGATGTTATTAATACAGCTACCTGCAAGAACAGTCTAAAAAGGTACAGTCAATACGTATAAAACAATTATTCATATGCGAGTGCTTGTGTTTCTGCTTACATCAGCTGCCGTTAAGTGTACAAAATTCATTATGGTAAAAAAGTTTAGCTCAGCATCTTTATATTACAGGATCTTTATTGTAAACTTACCTCACCCTCTTCAGCCACAATTGACCTTGTCACGTCTTATCTCCCGATTCCTACGCCCCTCCCCACCCTTGAATACTAATCAGGCGTGGCCCAGCTCGACGCCTCGGCCTCGGGGAGGATGGGGTCGCGCGCCCTTGCCTACTACTTTGGCACCACCATCTTCGCCGCCATTACCGGCATCGTCAGCGTGGCCTCCATCCACCCAGGAAACCCGAACCTTCTAAAGCACGGAGTTGAGAACCGGCTCAAGGAGGGGGACGATAAGGTTACGACGCTTGACGCCTTTCTCGACATCATTAGGTATTTCTAGGGAAGAGAGAGAAGGGGGCGAAAGTAAAGGAGGGAGAGGGGGAACAGAAGAAAGAGGGAAGAAGCGAGAAAGGGGAGGACAGGGAAAGAGGGGAAGGGGATTATGTAAAGCAAGATTAGAATAGATTTAACAGTAAATACGAAAGCGTTAAGCAGTAGCTTTATATATTTTTTTCTTTTATTTGCTTTTAACCTATTTAACAAGACAAACGGCGGTAGATTTTGCAAGGAACTTCACGTAACAATTTTCTTTGAAAATTGAGATTTTAATTGTTTCCAGTGAATGTTCTATGTTCCCTTGTGAGTGCATGTCATGAACGTCTTTCAATGTATCCTTATTGTAATTTGTGGACTGTAAATTTGGAATGATTGGAAAAGTATTCTCATTTCGCTTTAGTTACGAGAGCACCCAGAATAAGATATCTTTATCAGTGATAGTTATAGTACCTCCTATTTCCGCAGAATATAGTTCTGGGAACGCAATTGTTAGGTACATCAGTTTAATGCATCGTGTATTAAACGTAGTCATTTTCCTTTCTTAATTATTTAAAGGTCTGATGATTATTGCATCTACATACATTTTCACCTCTTTGGAAAAAATAGAAAATACCATAACAGGTTCTGCCACGACGACGATTAACTCCCTTACCTGCCAACCACCACCACCAGGCCTGTCCTGCCTAGACACGGGCTCCTCCGGCAAGATGGGATCACGAGCGCTCTGCTATTACTTCTCCACTACTATTCTGGCTGCAATGCTGGGCATCACTATGGTAACTACAATCCATCCCGGAGACCCCTCTATTTTGGTGGGAGGATCCCGACCCAGCAAAGAACCTGCAGAGGAACCACAGATTCTGGATGCCCTCCTGGATATCATTAGGTAGCCAGCGAGGGTGCGGGACCGCGAAGAACAGT